TCACATAGTGGTTCTTTATTTTTTATTTTACATTTGTTTGTGTGTATGTGTATACCTGTGTGTGTACCCATGCATGTATGTGCACGTGTGGCACACATGCAATGACTTGGGTCTGGAGGTCAGAGAACAACTAGCAGGCATCAGTTCTCACCTGCCACCATGGAGGTCGTAGGATTGACAGGCCACCAGCCTCAGTGTCAAGAAACTTTGGATTTTCTGTTTCTGTCATTGAGGTATTTCCATATTGATTGCCACAGTATTTGTGTCGTGGACACCCTGCCTCCTGTTTATTGGGACAGAAAACTGCTAGGCATTTTCTATAACACTATTTCATTCACAGTCATCTTTAACATGCCACAGATCTATACAAATGATCACAGAACAGAATGAAAACATGCCATCATTAGCAAATCCTGTACTAAAGAAATCCACAGAGGATCACATCTGATGGATGCAATCAGAAATGCCAGAGAAATCTGCAGAACACAATTGTGAGATAGTGACTGCTTATCGAGGCAGACAATAGCTGGACTTTTCCTACTATTCTCTATGGCTTTCTTTTTCTCTATTCTAAGATAAACAAGTCTCCCAAATGACATCCTAGGACACACAAATGTGATTTACTATAAGGCACCAACTGCAGGAATAAAAGTTATGTCTGTATTTGTAGCCAGGACCAATTTGAAAATCCTGCGCTGGGATTTCATTGGATCTCTGGAGGTTTGCTTGAGGACCAAAAACATATTTATCTTTTCGGTGACTGAACAAATGGCTTAAAGGTAATGATGAGATTCTAAGTCTGTGAGTGTTGGTACAGACATGGAATTTTACCCTTCCCTCATCTGTTAGTATATCTTCTTGGAAAAGCAGCAAATTGCAGGTAGTTATTGCCTCATGTGACCACCAGATGTTAGCCATACAATCAGCAGAGCCAGCCTCCAACAAGCACAGCAAGATGATTCTTAACATATCTGATTATTTCAATAACCATGGAAAGTTGATCAACTCCACCTGTGTGATGTAAAATACCTGTGTGGATAAGATATGTTCCCTTTGGGGAAAGGAAAGCTTTAAATCTATAAAGGGTACATTAGCTTTTTAATTTATAAAGAAGAAACAAATAAATTAATGAAAATGAGTCATAATTTATTTTTTAATGCTTTATATATTTTGTATTTCAAAATCTGTGCCTATGATGTAGACAGGAAGTTAAGTTCTTATAGTCTCTGCCAATTGAAGGATAGTCCTTTGGTTATTTTTAATAAATATAATAAAATAAAAACACACTGAATTACTTTCATCAAAAATTAAACATGGATGCAGTTCATATTTGCTATTAAGAAAATGAGTTGTGTAGCTTGGTGTTCCTGTGGGACTCTGAACAATGGGAGTGGGGTGTGTCTCTGACTCTTTTGCCTGCACTTGGGACCCTTTTCCACCTCCAGCTGTGACAGGAGGGTTTGTACCCAGTCTTGTTAGGCCATGCTTGATGAATTCCCCGGGAGGCCTATTATTTTTTCTTTTGTTTTCTTTCAAAGGGAAACAGAAGAGGAGTTCATCCAGGGGAGACAGGAGGTGGGGGAGTGACTGAGAGGAGTAGAGGAAAGGGAAACTGTGGTTGGGATGTAATGTATGACAGAAGAATAAAAGCTAAAAAGAACACTACATTATGCATGCTTATAAAAATGAGTGTATGTTTTAAAAAATGACCTTCTTAACATTGTATTATTAAGAGCAGGAAGTGTCAGGGTAGTCCAGGGGTGGCATTTCTTGCTAGAAAGATGTGAAGTAATGTTTTTATTTGCATCAACCCACTGTCTTAGGAAAGCATCAAATATGCACATTTGGACTTCAGTCATAGTAAGAATATACAAGTTGTTAGAGCAGAGAAATGATCAGGCTGAGCCTGAAATATTAAGGGAAAGTTTGCCACCCCTACCCTCGAAGAAAGAGGAAAGAGGGGATGGGGAAAAGGAAAGGAGAGGTAAGAGATAAAAGAGGAGACAGGATGAGGAAGGTGAGACAGGGGGTAGGAGACAGGATAGGGAGGTGAAACAGAAGAGAAGAGAAGAGAAGAGAAGAGAAGAGAAGAGGAGGGGAGGGGAGGAAAGGGGAGGGAGGAAAGGGGAGGGGAGGGAAGGGGAGGGGAGGGAAGGGTTGCAGTGAGTAGGAGGAGAGGGAAGGGGAGGGGAGAGAAGAGAAGGAGAAAGAAGGGGAAGACAAGATAGGGCATGGGGAGGGGAGGGGAGGATCTTGATAGTATTTGGAAGTCATCACTGATACAAACCTGAACAATTGAGTAACAATTGTTACTTAAGGTTCCAAAGGGTGAATATTCATATTTTCTTTTTAAATTAAATTATTGAGTGGTATATTACTTATTTCTTTTGCATCAATGCTTGGCAGCAGGGTCATTGCCAAGGAATATCTTAAAAATGTAATTCTGCCTAGATTTTTATATAAATTAGATACCAGCAATACAGGATAAAAAAAGTCCTGTTTGTGTGTACGAAAGTCACAGATATACATGAATAAAATTCACATTATACCATAACTACCTAATCTAGTAAATTTAGTCTTTGGAGATACAATTATATTTTCTTAAAGGGAGACTTTCCCATAAAAATTACTTTATAGCGTCTTGATTCTATACTTGGACTTGTGAGAGCCTCTTGTGTTCTATGAATTTCACTACTTCTGATACCTTAGAGAAGGAGTCACATGGTATAAATTGTCTGCTAGTGAATTTATAAATCTATCCACCTTAGAGCACATGACAAGACTTACTTCCTTTTAACAGGCTGAATATCATCCTATTGTTATCTTTGTTTATCTGTAGACGTTTTGTTTCTTTCCTCCCTTTGGTTATTATGTGTATAAAAATAAATGTATATATACCTCTCAAAGACCCTCATTTTTAGACATACAGCCTTTTGTTCATTTTCAATCTACACAAAGAAAGCTTGCTGTGTTTTAAATATATATTTAATTAATTAATTAATTAATTAATTAATTAATTAATACATGTGGGTGTGGGTGCACACATACCGAGGGTCATATGTAGGTTTCAAAGGAAAACTTGTGTTGTTTCTTTCTTCTTTCTCCCCCCCCCCCATTACTTGGGTTCCAGGGATCAAACATAAGTCACCAGTCTTGATAGCAAGCATCTTTCCACACTTAGCCATCTCACTGGCCCAAGAATATCTATCTGTTCTTAAAGATTGACATTACACCATTCCACAAGAAAGCCAATTATTTTAAAATATAGTCTAAAAGAGGAACAGTATTGATTTGCTTTCAGGATAAGAGTCAATAACTTGGGACGCTTCTTTATTGTCTGAAGATAACAGTTACAATGCCAGGAAATTCACTACTATACACCTCACACAGACTGTTGTTGGGGGGTTCACAGTCTCTCTCTCTCTCTCTCTCTCTCTCTCTCTCTCTCTCTCTCTCTCTCTCTCTCTCACACACACACACACACACACACACACACACCTGAATATAGTCCACACTGGAATAAAATAAATGGCAAAGTTTGCCTTTTTAAACTTTTAGACATCATCATGGGAATAGTGGGGAGAGCTGAATACTGTGAGTTTTTCACAATGCAAAACTCAACAAGTTGGCAAGACTATCAAGCATGGTTCCCTTATTATGCAGTTGGAGGATGGGTCCAGTGGCACACAGCTGTCATCCCTCCAGGGACTAGGAATTCTTATTCCTGTTAGAGCGTTTCAAAATTCATGTACTTACCCAACTATAATAAACAAATGGGGTAGAGCATGAAAGTTTTGACAGTGAAATTTCTTCCTGTTTTTCTTTCTTTTCTGATGTATGATTTCTATGATGCGGTAGCTACCCCTTACTCCAGGGACTTAAAGAACTAGCCTCCTTCCCTCAAGAGAACAGGGCCCATTTTAGTCATTACATGTTCTCTAAAGACAACGCATGCCCCTTAAAGAATTCCTAAACACAGCACAAGAACCTAAACTCTGACTTTACATCTTTTTTTGGGGGGGCAGGGTATCCTGGAATGCCTACCTCTGCCTCCCAATTCCTGAGATTAAAGTCCCATCTTTAACTTGTATGTTTTTATCCCAATAGACATAAAAAATCGAAAAAGTGAAAATTTTTTTCTTGTTCTTTTTCTTTGCTTTTGCTTGGTTCCGTATACTAGCTTTTCTAAAAAGGCATTACCTAAAATACATGTTATCAAAAGAGACGCATCAGGATAGATGGACAGACTGGCTAAAAGCATATAAGCAGTAATAAGAAAAGAAGAGTATAGAAACAATGAAAGAATGTAGGAATAAAGACCCTTCAGTAATATTCCCATCCTATCAATGATATTCGATGCTATATGGAAAACAATATATTTATTTACCAGAGAGAGAGAGAGTCGCACAAACCAGGAATTAGAAGCGTGGCAGGCTTCCAGGAGAAAAGGGAGGTTCCTTTTTCTTTCACTTCCTTTTATATCTACCTGTGTCAGTTTACATGTCCCTGCCCTCATGGGTGGATAGCTTTGTGGGGTTCACTCCTACACTATCCCCCATTCAATTGAGCAAAAGATCTGTCATAAAAGAGGCAGTCACTCAGCCTGAAACATAATTACATTTCAAAGTATGACAGGACATGAAAGACAGCATCAGTAGTGTGTTTACCAGATGTCATCTCTGAACACGGGAATATAAATCCTGTGTTTGTTCTATGACTTAAGATGAAAGGGACAGCAACATTAGTTCCCTATTCAAATCATGGAAAAATGGAAGAGCACTGTGATTAGGTTTGGAAGAATCTGGCTCAATCGGATAGTGTTTGTGAATCCAGAAAGAGTTGAGTTCTAGGTGAGAGGCCAGCTCCTAGCCTGCATGTAGGAATCCACTCCCCACCACCTACCTACTGTGACTGATAGTAATTCATTTGGAGAAAGAGTTCAGGATATAGCACCAAGATATCTAAGAAAAGCTAAAGAAATGCTAAAGTAAAAAAATTACACCATTGCTGGTGTTCTTATCTGGTATCTGTTGCTGTGGCAGTGACCGAAAGCAAGCCGGAGAAGGAAGGGTTTGATTCAGCTTCCCTTTCAGGTAACAGTCCGTCTCAAGGAAGTCAGGGCAGCCACTCAAGCAGAAACCATGAAGGTATGCTGCTGGACTCATGCTTATCCAGCTCTCTTCTCCAGCACAGGCTCACCTGCCCAGGGAATGGTGCCTCCCACAGTGGGCTGGGCCCTCCCTATTCAATTAACAATCAAGACAATCTCCCACAGACGTGCTCGCAGACCAACAATGTCTAAGCAATTCCTCAGCTGACTCTCTAGCTTATGTCAAGATAAAAAACTAACTAGGACAGTTAGGTTATTTCCTGGCCTTACTTTTGTAGGCCAGGGACTGACTTGTGGATATGATTAAGAACTTAGGCCGTGGTGTGACACACATGTGAGCCCAGGTTCTACCAATGACTGGCTGGATTATACCGAGATAAGTTTCTTCTCCACTGAGCTGAGTTGTCAAGCATAGGTAGCCACAGTTCAGTTACAGGTGTTTATTTATGTCAGGGTTCGGCCCCTTGTAAGTGCTATGCATACAGGCTGCTTATTAATAAGAATAAAGATTGTATTAATAACAGCTACTCAATCATCCCGGTCATGATTTGCCTCACTGTCACAAGGTGACTCACAGCAAGGGTCTGCCGGAGTCAATGGAGTTCTAGGCATAGCCAATTGCTCTATTCACGCCTGGCTCCTGAGTGCACTCTAGAACTGCCAACAGAAGCGAGGTCTGAGACAGCAAGTGCTCCTTCACCAGGCTGTCAGAGCAGCGCTGACCCAGTCCTGAACTCCTCAGACTTCACTCTCCTCACTCCCAGCAGCAAACCTGTGGATACAGAGAACTGACTGAGGTTCTTTTGTAATCTAGCTAGTTAACAGCAACCATGGCATGTAGCGGCATTCCCACCGACAGCAGCGGTACAAAACCATCATCATGTCAAGCATATCCTGGCAACCAGGAATTGCTAGTAAGCAGGCTTGTCACTCCGGAGCGGGGGCAAACTCTAGAAAAATAGGATACAATTTGTAATTGCTTAAATATGCAGTTTAGTCACATAAACTCCTCTGGCACTGTTTTGTCCAATTTTGCATGAAAAAAAGAGTCTCTTGCTGAGGTTGCAGTCCCCCCCCCCTTTTTTTGAGACGGGTTTCTCTGTATTGCTTTGGAGGCTGTCCTGGAACATTCTCTGTAGACCAGGCTGGCCTTGAACTCTCAGAGATCCGACTGCCTCTTCCTTCCAAGTGCTGGGATTAAAGGCATGTGCCACCAACGCCCGGCTGCTGCAGTCTTTTTGTTAAATGTTATTTGTGTTTAGTATTTATGCAAGTGATAATTTCCTATTTTTGCATGTCATTAGAATTAGACTAAAACAACAAATCTTTTTTTACTATTTTAACCATTTTTAAAGACACAGCTCCATGATATTAAATACCTCAATAGTCTGAGGTAACCATCACCACTGTCCATTTCTACCAGGGAGTCAATAGCTCAAATAGAAGCTCTGAACTGATTACATCCCCCACTCCATACTATGGTCCACCCTGGTAAGGCAAGCATTATTCTACTCTCTGTCTTTATAAATTTGTTCATTCTAGATAACACAAACAGATTGAGTCAGTTAACGCTTGTCCCTTTCTACCTGGCTTGTTTAACCAACACAGTCTTTTCAAAGTCAATCTATTTAGTACAGGGTTGAGAATCCCACCGTGTTAGGACTGACAGGTACTCACTGGTGCACATATACCAAGCACCCTGTCCATCATCCATGTGGAGACGGGTGTGGAGGTTGTTGTAGTCTCTGTGGACTGTGACTGCCTCTGTGGATATTGGTGTAGGAGCCTATCCAGAAGTTGTGGGTCATATAATTCCACACTTATTTTCACATAACTTCCTGCTCCCATCAGCCATGCACAACAATCCCCAGCTTGTACTCATTCCCACCAACCATTGCCCACATTTACGGTAACAGTCATGCCAAGGAATGTGAAGTCCTCGCTCATTAAAATTAGATGTCTGTTAAGTATTAGAAAAAGAAAAACAAAATAAAGACACATTAAAAATAAATTATTATACGGCTGGCTCACCCTGTATGCAAAAAGTTACGGACATCTGGTGTAAGCCTCAAAGTGGATGCTTACAAAAAATATGATTATATCCGTAGCATTTTTGACAGCAGTAATATTCTCCAAATGGGGTGATCTTGAGTTTTAAACCTGCAGCAAATTCTCAGGACGGGAGTCTATTCTCGGTCATTAAACTAGAGGAGCCTGACCCTAATGAATGCAATTTCCAGCGAAACCTCTCAGTCTCAAGTGATGCAGGGCACCTTCCGCAACGCATGCGCAAACCCATGCTCATGCTGCGCGCTTGTGTGCGCGGTCCCGCGACGTCGAGGGGCGTGGCCGCGCGACTCGGCTTCTTGGTTCCGCCATGGCTGTCTCTTCCAGCGCCGTTCACCTGCGGCAGTGTGTGGTGTCCCCGGCCGGGAGACACAGTGCCTCGCTGATCTTCCTGCACGGCTCAGGTGCATTGCAGTCTGGTGGTCTCCGGCGCGCGCGCTGCCGCTGGGGGCGCACCCTGTCCTCCGTTCCCCGGAGCTCCCCAAGGCTAGAGGCCAGGCCGCCGGTGCCCAGGGTCAGGAGGGAGGCTGCCGCCTCCCGGGAGGGTTCCACTTCCTCTATGGCAGTCACTGTCGTCATCTCGCTTCCTTCGCTGGTGTCCTTGACCCCTCCAACCACAGTAAGGCCATCAGGTCATCAGGGCAATCCTTACCCTATCCCAAGTTCAGGCACACCACCTGTGAGTGTCCAGGCACGTGGCTCAGCTACTGTTTTCAGGGTCGACCACCAGAGATCCCACACATACCGTCCCCCACGGCCCCTGTGCGAGCAGGTCGTAAGCCTTGGTCTGCCTTTCCAGTGGCAGAATGAGCCCCGATCTTCACGGTGAACTGGGATCATATTTACAGTCTGCGTCCTTTCTGCTTGGCACCACCTGGGTTCCCATGCGCTCCCCACCGGTCCTTTCTCATGTCCCTCCTCCCTGATTCCCCTTGTTGCCCTATGTCGTTAAGTATCTGAAGTAAGTACAAAGTCATCTCCATCCAAGGAGTTGCCCCTAGGGAAAGAATTAGAACCCTTGTTTTAATCCTTGCATCCACAGCGCTTGGCTGGCCCAGAGTAAGTTCCCAGGAAAAAAGAAAAAAACATTTTTTTTAAAGAAATGAGATCCAGCCGGTGTCCTCAGGGGGCCTACCTAAATTTAAAAACAAAAACAATTCAATTAATTTGAGTCAGCAGTGGACAGGGGATCACAAGATGGTGCCTGAGCTACTGCCAAGTGAATAGTAAGGAAAGGGAAAAAAATGTGGTTGGACATTAGTAAGGCATTTGCAACTAACTGAAGGACTTGTCAGAGTTTTCCAAGAAGGCCTTGTTTGAGCTGAGACACGTGTAGACTTAGGGGAATGGCGACTAGAACACGCAAGGGGCTGGAAACAGTGTTAGCAACAATGAAAACCGGTATAGAAGAAGTTTCCCTGCTATCCTGTGAGTTGTGGTGAACTTGGGATGGAAACACCTATGTTTGACTCCGGATGCATAGTCTGAGGGGGAGGGGGAGGGGAACCCGGAACTCTGATGTATCACTTCAGAAACAGAAGATAAGGGTTGAGCTTGTGTGAAGGCAAAGGCGAGACTGGTGACTTACGCTTAAAAGGAGCTGAGTAGTGGTTATTCAGGAACCGGGAGCATCTGGTGATGAACGCTCAGAATTCCCACATAGTATTTCCTTCTCATGATTAATTTGGTGTCTTTAGAAAGAACTAGAATTTGTTTTGTTTCTTGTTGTTTTTTTTAACCCCCTCTGGACCACTTTGTTTAATGCTTCCTATTTTTCAATCTCAAATCACTGACAATTTTATAACCTATAATGCATGCCTGAAATCAGAGTCATCCATTCTGTGTGTATTTTACACTGTGTGTGTGTGTGTGTGTGTGTGTGTGTGTGTGTAAAACTTCCCTTTATACATTGGAAAAAGAATTCTTCTAAATCTTCCATATGTGCAGGCATATTATTCTTATATAACTAAATCTCCACTGATGTATAAAAAGCACTATTTGGAATAGGCCTATCCTGTTAGTTTTTATTGTCATCTTGAACCAGGAATCCCCCAGGAAAAGAGAGTCTCAATTGAGAAATCGGCCTGTGGCTATGACCACAGTGAATGGTCTTGACTGTCCATTGAGATAGGAGGTCGCAGCTCTCTGTGGCCACTGCTACCCTCAGGCAGGTGTCCTGGCTTGTACGAAAGAGCTGGTTGAGCACTGGGACAAGCCAGTGTCAGCTTTGCTCTGTTGTCTGTCTTTCTGCTCCTGCTCAAGTTCCTGCTCTGACATCCCTTGGTGATGGACTACTAGCCAGAAGAGTAAGTTGACATAAAATTTTCCTCTCAAGTTGGCCTAGGTCAGTGTTTTATCATGGCAACAGAAAGCAAACTAGAAGGAGGCCTTGGCCCTCCAGGTTGGAAGGTCATAATGTTACACTGGGCTTGAGCATGTGTTTGTGTTACAGAACAGCACGTATTTGGCTTCTGGATGATCCAAATAGAAACATTTTACCATGGTTTGGGATAAGGTACTGACTTTTTTTGTCATTTAATTTTTTTTCTTGAGAATTTCATACATGTATTCAAAGAGTGCAAGGCTTTTTAAAAAGTGAGCCTTGGGAGTGGATGCATGAATGCTGTTTTCTACCATTCAGTTGTCTCTTTCTTCCAAGACGGGAGAAGTATTTGAAAACAGATCACATTTAATAAAGTTTGAAAAGCTTTAGAACCTGGTCTAGAGTATAACAGCTGTAGAAAAATATATGAGAATATACTCCAAGTGTGTTTGAACCCTTTCCTACTTCTAAAATGCCTTTAACAAAAGATACCTTTCAGGGTGATTAAAATCAATGGTAGCGCTGTTTGCTTAGTCCAGCCTCCCACACTGGGTTGTTCGCTCTATTATTTTCTCCCCTAGAAGTGTCTCCCTTCAGTGACACTCATATCATATCTGTGATGGCTTAAGTTAATGTCTGTGTTCCGTACTGACCATTAAGGCTCATAAAGGCCATTCTGTGTGTCTTCTTGGTGGCTTTCTCCCTTTTAGATTGTCTTCATGAGGTGACTGAATTAGATCCTGCTGAAGTTGCAAGAAACCCTTTGAAGTGGCAGCCTTATCCAGTAGACTCTCCATTCTCCGCCTCTCTTCATTCACCCTTCATTCAGTCTCTGTCAGTCTGAGTCTGGATGTCAGCAGCCCCTGGATTTCTTGGGTGTCAAAATTTGCTTTCCTTTGCCTCTGATGCTCTTCTGAGGTGTTTTAGCACCTCTTCTCATCTCCTGTAGATTTCAGCTCAAAATCTCCAACTACTCCACTAGATAGATCCTGCCTTTGTAAGGGGCATTTTCTCTTCAGTAATATAAGACACACTTATTCTTTCCCTGTCTCGGGGTACATATATTAATTCTTACATTAATTCTTGCATTAATTTTTTTGGTCTTGAGTAGTATATAATCATGATGTTACATTATAACAATATGCCAACACACTTAAAATCTGATATCTTCTAGTTTAAACTTGAAGTAGAATAAATATCCTACCCCAACCCCCAAGACTTGTTTTCACCAAGAAAATTGTATTAGGTCATACCAGCCACAATGGTGTAAATCACACTGATATTTTAAAAAATATAGATGGGAAATGAATAGTGTTAGGAAACGTCTAAAAATAATTCTCCTCTAGAAGAATTTATTATATCTATTACAAAAGAGGAAAACTGAAATTCAAACCTAAGTGTGGTATTCTAACTGATAATACACTCAGATGTATAATAAGGATTATTTCTATTGTTCGTGCTTGGTCAACTAATTCCGCTAAATCTAAACAGCTCTTTTTGGCACATGGAGATTTTCCGAATTCTCTATTCCAGCCTTCAAGTGTCCTGAGAGGTACAGATCACTTTGAAATGCACTGTGTTATGACAATGTTTATCAGACTGAGTTTTGTCTTTTTTTTTCAGGTGATTCTGGCCAAGGACTGAGACAGTGGATCAAGAACGTGCTAAACCAAGACTTAACATTCCAGCACATAAAGATTATTTATCCAACAGCTCCCTCCAGGTATGCAACACTTAATTTCACTTCTCCTTCTCCGTAGAACCTCATGGCATAAGATGTATGTTTGTGCCAGCAAGATGTTTTTAACTTTAACTCTATGTTTCAGATATTTTAAATTAGGGTCCTCAACTCCCACCTGTAAAAATGCATGGACTGTGGGTTCCTTGGTCAAGCTTTTCCAGGGAACCCTTGTCTCTGGGATGCATACTCTGACTGGCCCCTTCCACCCACCTCTGCATCCTGCCAGCCTGCATAGTGCTCATCTTCTGCATGTTCCCCCTTTACCTCACGCCCCCCAAAAGCAAACTTAACAACGTCTGCCAAGACAGTCTTTCTGATAACTTAGTTAAACACAGGTTTATAATCCAAACTTCAAAGGATGCTAAATACTGTTAGGGTTCTTTAAATCAGTAAAATGGGATAGATATGAGGCACCGGCCTACTTAATATTTAGAGTAGAAATCTGTAGGTGCAGCTAATCAGATTCATAATCATGAGAGTGGAATCATGAGGCCTTGAACAGCTTTTTGTAAATATTAAATATTCACCCACATAGTCTTTTTTCAAACTTATTTTTGCATAAACAAATATTGTGTTGTCATACAACCCAATTTGATTTCTCATTTTTTTTCCCCTTACACGTGCTTTGTAGTCACAAAAGAGTGCTAGACTTTCATTTTTCTGTCAATCTTTTTTCACAAGAAAATGAACTGGGATTTCAGGAAACTTCTTATATTCACCAATAAGAAGTTCCTTCTCTAGTCGATAGAATTGAACAGTTATAGAACAAAAATGAGAGTGTAGAATAGGAGATTCAAAAGTTATTATTTTAATATACCTAGGCTTAGGGGTTTGGTAGTACTGACAGATACCTTTTGACAGATTGATGCCAAGAGCTTGCTGTCATTGGTTTTTAGGGTAGGTGCAGTTGGAAGGGAATGCAGATATTTCTGTGAAAACCTGGAAGGATGGTGTGTTTTAGGCTAATTGCAAATGGAGGTGATTAAGTAAGACATTCAAGACATGAGTCTAAGAATTTAACAATTTTTATTTCTTGTTAAGAATTTAATGATTATTGTCTCTTGACTCACATATTATCAATTGTAACATGAATTCTAGTCAGTGTTGTTCAAACTTTAAACCGGTAGTATTTCGTAGTCACACATCTTCACGTGCACTCTAGGTTTGTATTAGAGTCTTCTTTAAATGTTTGACAGCACTTAGAGAAGTCACCTGAACTTGAGATTTGTTGACAATAAATTTATATTCTTTTATAGAACCAAGGTTTTCAGATTTTCTATGTATTTTCAAGTCAGTGTCAGTGACTTAGTGGAAGTTGCCTTTGACCTTGTGATACTTATTTTTAATGATTAAACATGTTTATATATGTTATTTGTTCTGATAAAAATAGCTTATTGGGTGTATATATATGTTTTGTCTTATCAGGGGTTACTAGTTGATAAATCTTTTGATAGAACCAACTTAGGTTTGGCTCTTTTGTCTGTTTTGTTGTAGTTTGGACACAGAGTTTCACTATGTAGCCAAGGCTGGCCTAGAACTCATGATCATTCTGTCTTCTGTCTTCTGTCTTCTGAGTGCTGGGATTACAGGTATTCGCCACATCCAGCACCATTTTCTCTCTTACTTTTCACTTACATCCCTTAATTTTCTTTTTCCCTCCTATTTGTATTAGAGCAATATTTTTATCACCACTCTAGCCAAATCTCACCATTTTTTTTCTGTCTTATTTATGTTGGAAGATTTTCTATCACCTTCATGTTCCTGTATAATTCTTGTGTAACAAATCACCCCCAAGCAACACTTTTATTATGGTCACAAATTTTGTGGGTTAGGAACTCAGAAAGGGCACAATAGTGGTGACTCAATCCAATTCTGTTGTTTTTGGGGCTTCTCCTGGGAAAGCTTGAAGGTTGGGTGTGGCTTTTGATTTGTCATCTGGGGACCGGACCCTTCATCTGAAGGCTTACTCACATAGCTGGCAGTTGATTCTGGATATTAGCTGGGGCTTTCCTGCAGCCTCGGCACTGTGACCCCTATCCTGGGCTTCACCTTTTGGAGTTTATTATCTGTGTATTTGTTGAGTGTGTGTGTGTGTGTGTGTGTGTGCGTGTGCGTGTGCGTGTGCGTGTGTGCATGTGTGTGTGCGCGTGTGTGCATGTGTGTGCGTGTGTGTGTGCGTGCGTGTGTGCATGTGTGTGCATGTTGGTGCACATGCACGCGGAGCCCAGAGGCTGAAGTCAGTTTTCTTTCTCTGTTGCTCTCCACCTTGTTTTATGAGACAGTCTCTCTCACCAAACCTTGAGCTCACCAATTTGACGAGACTGGCAGGCCATCAGGCTCTAGCGATCTAGCTGCCCCTTTCTGATCTCCTCACAACGCCTGGCATGGGGTTAGGGACAAGTGCCAACACTCCCGGCTTTTACCTAGGTGCTGAATTCAGATCCTCGTAGTTGTATGGGACACATCTCCCCAGCCCACCATTTGGAGTTCTTAGCTGTATAGTAGCCTGGAGGCACGGTTCCCAGAGGAGATATCCTCAGAGAACAAAGAATTTAGCAGGTGCAGAGCTCACGCAGTAAGCAAGTAAAGAGTGTAGGCCTTTGCCTCTTGGCAAATGTCTGTCATGCTCTGGAAGCGCTTGCATGGTTACTGTTCTGACTGGATACAAAAACTGTAATCCCTGGACCTATATATCCAGGAAGGCTTTTAGAAGTCTGGTTAGTGATTTCCATGAATTGAGGGGTATTGCAGTTGTACAGCTGACTTCTAATTTCATTCCATTGCCATCAGATAAAATACCCTATAGGATCCCAGTGTTTGGATTCTCCCTGGGACTTTATGGTTTTTCGTGGACTCAGTCATGGCAACTCTTTATATGTATTGTTTATGTACAATGTTTAAAAAGCACCAGTGTAGTCCAAGGTGGCCGCTGGTGTCACTTACATTTTATTTATGCTTGATAATTATCTTTAAGTGGTTCTAGGAGTCATGAGTGTAGGAGGTCTTCAATAATTACCTTCTTCTTACCAAATGATCTCTCTTAACTTCTGGTAACCCCCCAAAGGGTAATTTGTGTAATAACTATATATATATTATTAGTATATACTACTGCCCAGCAGCTTTCCTATACTTATTTCACAAATTTTTCATCACTTTATGTTACTTTGATTAGTGTTGCATAGCAAACCTCCAGCTTTTATTTTTAGCTTGTCTATAAATTATATTTAAAATGTGTTTGTTATGCTGGGCGTTGGTGGCACACACCTTTAATCCCAACACTTGGGAGACAGAGGAAGGCGGATTTGTGGAAGTTCAAGGACAGCCTGGTCTACAGAATGAGTTTCAGGACAGGCTCCAAAGCCACAGAGAAACCCTATCTCGGAAAAAAAAAAGTTTTTGCTATAGACAACATGCAGTTGACCTTTGCTTATACCTTTAATGCATATGACAGCTTCCGTCTTGTAAATGATTTGTTTAGCCATTGGATTTATAGGTTTGAATATAATTCTGTTGGTTTTTTTTTGTTCTCCTGTATTCTGTTTTCCTCAATTTTTGCACCATTTAAATTTTTTTTATATTTCAATTTAATTATCTGTTCTTTTTTCCCCTGATAGTGGTAAGGCTCAGTATAAATCACAGCCCTTCCCCCATCAAATTACACAGGTCCCTTTCCCTTTCCCCCTTTATGATTCTCATGTCTTTCATTTATATATGTTGAGAACAGCATCAAACAAGGTTATAATTTTCTTTTTCATAGTAATGAATGCCACAAAGAGCCTAAGAGGGGTCAGTGGTTTATTGTGTTTGCTCGATGTAGTCTATAATGGCATATCATTGTATTTTCACTAAATTGTGAATTACTCTATTGTCTAAAATAAATACTCCTTCTCCTCTAATAAATGACCTAAGCAGGAGTATATTAAATAAAAATCAACAATAGTTTGCTGCATTAACTAAAATGGAAAAATGGAATAATATTTTTTCATTATGTTAATTTGGACTCTTTAATTGGAAGTACCCAATAAATATTTTTATTTTTGTGACATATTTTAACTGTGTTTACAACCACAGGTTTTCTTAGTTTGGGTATAATAACAGAATTTCCATTAGAAAATAACAATGTTTTATAGTCCATTTATAATTGTTATGGTAGAAATTCTCTTGGAGATTTGAAAACTTCTGAAACTCTTCAGACATGTGTCCACCTCTCCACGTTGCTCATACAGCTTCCCCCCACAAAGGGAGTGCCCAGCACCTGCTGTCAACGTAGACTCTAAAGCAGATGCAGACACTCCTTATTTCAAGTGCTTATATTTTTACATGCTCATCCTATGGGAAGCACACATAGAAGGGGCATGCACATGCTTCTGTGTGCAGGTACATGTGGAGGCCAGAGGTCAACTGCTCATGTGCAGACTCAGTAAAAAAAAAAAGGCAAACCATTACAATTTCAAATAATGATGGATGACACAAAGACTATCAAGTTAATGAGACAGAGTCGGCCTGGCAGAAAAGAGGCAGCACTGTGGAGTCAAAGGGAATCCTTTGAGACGGTGACATTTGAGTTGAGACTTAGTCAGGGGGAGCATGCAGGAAGAGGGAGACCAGATGCGATGCTCCTGGGTCACCGCTGAGCTGGTCCAAGTGACTCGACCCTAGAGCATGCTGGGGGAAATTATGAAACCAGGACCCAGAAGGACTGGAGCCAGGTTCTATCTGAAAGGCCACAGATGATCTCTTGGTTTCTGTAGTTTTAGGGGGAACATAGACCAAACTAAAAATGGGTATTCAGCTGAATGCCTTTTTATTAAAAAGGAAAAAAAAGCTTTGGATATTTATCCTGGGCTAATACTTTACCAGTGTGTAATGGGTCAATTGATTGATTGATTTAGGAACCACACAGATGCTCTCTGCTGAACATATTTGTTTATTGTGGTAATGTCTGAGCTGCTTTTATACCAGCTAATAAAGTGATTTATTTGAGGAAGAAAGTGAATGGATATAACACATGTGCCAGGACTTTCAGCTGTTTAAAAAACAATCTTTTATGCTTTATTTCAAGGTTATTCTAACATCTTGGAGATTTATGTACTCTTGATTGTTTTCTTAGCAAAAAAAAAAAAAAGTCCTGAAGTCTTTTTATGCCATTAAATTTTCCTGATGATTCTTTTTGAACAAAAAATATATGTATATATAATTTTTTCTTAGAGAAATGAGAGACCCAAACCCTGCAGATGCATTAATTGGGATTTCCAGTGGACTCTATCTCAGCGGCATATCTATCTAATTAATTAAATAAGGCATTGTCAAAGGGAAATGAGTAGAGTGAGTATCATTTTTTCCCATTAATGGCTGACTTCCCAGAATGATTCACATTTTAGCCTATGATATCATCCTTATTTAAGTGCTTAGACAGACAAATAAACAGTTAGAGAAATAGCAGAGGAAAGCAGAGAGGGAAGCCGAAGTGACTCAAAGGGTGACAGTCTGACGGGAACTTCAGAGTGAGTGCTGTGCATCTCCTCTGGGCTGGGCTTCACTGTGAGGGCAGTCCCCATGAACTTGGGACTTCGAGGTGCATGACAAGGACTTTGAGCGAAGCACCCACCTTCATGTGCAGTGGACTCGAAGTTAACCTCGAGAGGGCCTCTGGGAGGAGGAAGCCTTGGGTGACTTCTGCCTTCTCCCCTGAGCCCAGCAGCTCCTGGGGCCAGAAGGTGCAGTAGGGTGACAGGGAAACTGAGTTAAGCTGCTGTGGGATTTTTATCTTTCCTGCAGCAACTGAGTGTAGCACAAATTCTAATCCGTCTTAATAATAAAAATCCAGAGTCAGATGTAGAGGGAAATGCTGAAAATTCAGAGAAGCAGAGCAACCAGCCATGAGTTCTTACCTCTACTGAATCCTCAGACCAAATGAGCAATCCTGTCTCTAGGAATCCTCAGACTGGATGCGCTGAGCTCTGGTCTCTTCCTGCCTTTTATTCCTCTCTCCACCCAGGCTGCAACTCCCTAGCACTGGGATTAAAGGTGTGTGCCACCACTGCCTGGCCTCTGTGGCTAACTAGTGGCTAGCTCTGCACTCTGATTATCAGGCAAGCTTTATTTGTTAAAGCACAAACAAAATGTCACCACAACTAAGGGCCTGGGTAGAGAGGAGTGGGAGAGAAACCTGGAGGGCTCAGTCTACAGAAGTCTAACTTCCTCCCAAGGCGTTCTCTTAGAACGTTAATCTCAGATAATAATGCATATTCATTAAAATCCCAAGAGATTTTCTAAAGGAATTATTTGAGAGTATTTCAGACTTTTCCAAATGTTTCAATTTTCCTCTTTACGAAATAAAGACCATGAGTGTGTAACATAGTATGACGTCTATCATGAGAGTGGGGGGAGGGAGGGCGAGGAAGCACCCGCTGATCAGTGCATACATCAGCAGGGGAGTCTGCCTTTGTGGAGGCACAGAGTGCCAAAAGTTGTTTCAACAATGGTGTTCTTGATTTTCCTCAGCATGGCACAGGGTTAGTACTTTTCTAACCGATTAAGCAAGACGTACTTCACTATATACAGTAAAGGTTTAGGTATTAGGGCTTTAGGGCTTCCACTTGTCGAAGAATGGTGCCTCCTCTCTCTCTCTCTCTCTCTCTCTCTCTCTGCCTCCATCTGTCCATATTAGATAATGTGAACTTGACTTTGAGCCTTGAGTCATACCACATAGGAAAGAATTTCTCAAGTTTAAATTCTGAACAGTAAAAATGGCAGCAAAAGCCACGGAAGGATCTTAGATGCTAAGGCTTCATTGGGTGTCTCCCTCTCCCTGAAAGCCCCCCTGGGATTCAGAATAAAAAAAATTTAAATCAAGAAAGCCAGAACCTGAACTTTTAAGGCAGACATTTCAAATGCTTTCAAATGTGGAGTTCTTCTATCTGGTAAAAAGGGATAATTTGTATAATGATGTAATGGTATTCTAATTAAATTATAAGATCATTTAAAAGATACTATAAATACACATGACTATGCAAAGAATATTTAGAAAACACCACTCTTGAGGACAGAAGGCAAGTCTCTGTCATTACCACAAGTGATCTTCTGAATTAATGAGGAAAGCTTTAAACCCTGCAGAAGAAAAAAAGCTGATGGTATCAGTCAGCATTTCCGTTGGTGCAATGATTTGGAGTAGACAAAGTTAATAGCACTCGTGGGTTACCTAATGTGGTGTGTGAGGAGCATCTGAATTGTCTGAAAGGGTCTGGGGGCAGGGAGGTGGTGTCTTGAGGAAGGAAGGGCCCATGTAGCCATGAGATGGGGTCCCCATGTCTACACTTGAAATCTGAGGTTAAAACTGAGTAGAGTTCTATCAGTTAACCCAATACACTTTCTTTTATGACTTAATGGACACACTCAAGTGAGAACCTGTTGGTACCTGTTTGTACTAGAGAGGCTGTGGAGAAAGGTAGTTAATCTTCCTTATGGTAGAACAGTGGATTTTTCCCACTTTTATGGAGGCAACTTTGAAACATGTAATAAGGCAAAAACTGCACCTTCCAATCCAGCAATATGATTCTTAGTCTCTGTTCCATTAGAATAATAGTCCCACTACATTAAAACATGCATGTGTATTAAATATATGTAAATGGACATTACATGTCCTGGAGCCACTTGGTCCCAAATCTCCAGCAGCCCCTTCCCAAATTACCACACAGAGATTTATATAACTTAGATATGCTCAGCTAATAGCTCAGACTTGTTATTAGCTAACTCTTAAAATTAAATTAACTCATAGTTCTTATCAGTGTTTAGCTACATAGCTTGGTACCTTTCCTCAGCATAACATTGCCATCTTGCTTCTCTGTATTTGCAGGGGACTCTCTGACTCTGCCCTTCCTCTTCCCAGAATTCTCTCAGTCTGACTCTTGTGCTCATTTTCTTCCTGTCCAGTTATTGGCCAATCAGCTTTTATTTAATAGTGAGCATAATCCACAGCAAACATATAGATTTAATGTCACACTGTCCACAGGAGCCAGAATCTAGATACCAAGTAAGTGGTCATCAGAGGAGAAGGGGAGTGTCTCAGACCGAATGTCCCTTTGTTTTCAGTAGTATCACCAGCAGGGAAAAGTGGTGGCATGTCCCTGTCCCTCAGCACCACCTGCAGACACCGGGGAAGCCACTGGTTATGCTGCCCTTTCCCTGTGGTTTCAGAAGAGAGGCACAATGAAGCAGGCCAGGTGTCAGCTGGTTCTTTTAGTCACACATTAACTTTCATCTGTGTGACTTGGAAATTGTGTGTGTAGCTGAGTCCGAGAAACAAAGCAGAAGAGGTAGGGATGAGTAGCCAGCAGTGAGGAGAGTCACCGTGATTGGTTGAGAGGCCTTTCAAACATAGTGCATCGTTTGTTGCTGGCTAGCTCATCCGTGTCCATCTCACATGTAAATCGAACCATGTATTTTGCTATGAAGTAAGAATGGGCAGCGCCTCTGGTCAAACCTCCTGCCCCTTGTCCTGGGCAGCCCCTCCTCCTCCATGTTTTAGCAGAGCTGCCCCTGCACGGCAAAGCCTCTCCCAGGTTGTCTTCATTCTCCTTGTATTTCCCTCTGCTGACACGTAGCTTAGACAAAACCTTTAACAATATTGTTACTGGTTTATAAATACTTGGAATGTGCACAAGTTTGCATGTAAAATTGGAAGTTCGTTGCATAACATTAATGTACACAAATGGGCTAATATTCATTGTCACGTCTACTGCGTGGCCTGTGTCCGAGAACGTGCGGAGGGTGTCGGGGATTGACAACACAGAGACTCGTTCAACGATATAAAGAGAACTTTAAACAGGCTCCAAAAAGGTTCAAGAAAACCTCCTAAGAAAAGCTCCCACCAGAGAAGCTTCTGCTCTCTCCTCTCCCCTGGCTGGTTCTGCTCTGACCAGAGGTGGATGTGTGTGGGTTTTTGAAGGTGCGGCTAGTCTCTGGACAAGGTCGAGGTCAGGGCGGTTTCCGTGGGAAGGCCTTTCCCAGGAACTTATTGTATCATTTTTAGTAAACATGTTTTTACTAAACATTGTCTTACAGCTGCCTACTCCCAGGCAGAAGGGGAAGTGGGTCTCTGCTCAAGGTCTGGTGTTCCCACATTCATAGCACCGTAATTATCATACCTTCTAAAAACTGTTAACTAATGGGCTGTGAGAAGGCTCAGAGGGTAAGGGCACTTGCCACCTTAGAACCATGGTCTACCCCTGGAACCTTCAAGAGAGAACTGACGATTGCCAATTGTAAACCCAAACCTCCACATTGCCCATGGCACACCTCCCCAAAGTAAAGAAATATAATGGTTAAACAGTTCACTAAAGATGGTGAACCAGCTTTGGGAAATATTAATGGAATAAATATAAGGATGTTACTGTAGTATGTATCAGGCATGTTCCACACAAATTCTTTAACATAAAATTCAGCAAAACATAGTAACGTACTTCTTTGTTGTTTGTTTTAAACAGACCATACACTCCTATGAAGGGAGGACTCTCCAATGTGTGGTTTGACAGATTTAAAATATCCAGTGACTGCCCAGAACACCTTGAGTCGATTGATGGGATGTGCCATGTGCTCACTGAGCTGATTGATGGTGAAGTAAAAAATGGCATCCAGAAGAACAGGATATTAATAGGTAAGGTCTTTATAACTTTGGTGATGCATTTCACTTTTGTCTAAGTTTTTTTGAGTTACATTTGTAACGTTGTTTACAAGTACGTGAATATTGCCCGACACATTCACAGTTTTGGATAAGCTGCAAGTGCAGCTTTCAAAAATATTAGAGTCATAAACAACAGCTCATGAAACCTCCATTGATTTCATTTTAATAATAACTCTTTTCTGCCTCGTTTTGGACAAGGCATTGCTATATAGCCAAGACTGACCTCAAAACCCCAGTTTTCCTGCATCCACCTGGGCTATATGAATGCACCATCGTTCCCTACCTAATTTGCTGTTTTTTTTTAAGGGATAAATACTTGTCTACTTTAATTTTTAACTGAGCTATCCATTCCAATTAAAAATACTTTTCTTTTATGTATCTGGGGTCTTATAAACATAAGATTAAACTGCCCTTTCTCTGATTGAAATAAGGTACATGGGGAGAATATGTAGTCAAATTGATGAGCACGGAGTCTTTCAAGTGAGTGTCACAAGACTAAAACATTGATAGCCTTGTGTTAATCATGTCACAATGAGCCCTGTCCCCAAGGGTATTTAAAGCTTTGTGTAAATTATGTAATGAATTCTTCTTTGGCTGAACTCATCAAATACATTAACTAGCAAAATTTCTATTTAATATGTACAACTGCAGGATGAGATATGTAGAGTGTCAGTGGTACAGAATGTTTTGGTTGTACGAACTTGTAACAACTGTATTTGATGAAGAAATTATAATGTAAATTAAATATCTCCACCATGTGCTAAATAGCATCAAAGTATACTCAGGAATCTTCTAGAGACTAGGTTGAAGTATGTTTTAGTGCTATGAAGTTCCTTGGTACTCAGTGAGGTACTGAACTATTAAGTGAGTTACCAAGACCTATCCTTTTCAGTCTTCAATGATCATTTAAATGCAAATTACTGCAAAATATCTTTCTGCTAGTTTCATTCTTATGTGTCTGTTAGAGTATATACCAACTGCTGGACTCCATGCACTCACTCGTGTGTGTGTGTGTGTGTGTGACACACTCCCTAGTAAAAAATGAAAGTTATCAAAGCAAATAGTTGCAAAGTAGGAAAACTTTGAGATTTAAAGGAAATGAAAGGAAAGCAGCAGGCCCAAAATGATTTCCGTATTCTTTCTATGGAATAATGACCAGAGTCCTGACTTACTGTGAGAGAAAGTGTGCCAATGGACTGTGCCTCTGAGATTATAAGTACAACCATTGAAGCTTTGTAAAGAACACTGCCTCAGATGTGCTGCAGGTGACAACACATCCTTTCCCTGTGTCTCATTTTGATCAGCACTATTTTATTGTGTTAAATTCAGTTAGGAATAGAGTTTCACAGTGTATGTGATCTGCCACGGGAAGTCTGTCTTATACTGGAATGGTATTTAGACAAACTCTTATGCCTAAATTGTTCATAAAACTTAAGTGTTGTGCTGGGGACATGCCTTTAATCCCAGCACTTGGGAGGCAGAGGCAGGCGAATCTCTGTGAGTTCAAGACCAGTCTGGTCTACAAGAGTTAGGTCCAGGACAGCCTCCAAAGCCACAGAGAAACCCTGTCTCAAAAAAAAAAACCAAAACAAACAAACAAAAAACCCTTAAGTGTTGGAGTATTAAAATTCCTCAAACACTCCAATGGAATAGGAACTGAAGCCAAACATTCTAGTGTAAGAAGTATTGGTGAAATGACGGGTGTATGTGGGACAGACAGTATGGAGAGAAGAAACAGATCTTAGGGGTGAAGGACCCTTTCCTAGGAAAGATAACCCTCCAGCTGGTCATGAGCAGGGGACAAATTTAGTAAACTAAGAGGGAACCCTGCCTGGGGAAGGAGGCAGGGCCCATCCCAGTCTCCCAGGAAATGGTGTTCTGGCATGCACCCAGGACTTAGCATCACCAGATTAGACACAGAGAACAGGTGATATGCTGGGGTATTCACTTCACAAAGACAACAACCATGCATGGAGGTAATATGTGAAGGTCACTAGGACAACAGGAAGGGAACCATAATAGATAAGGAGATTCCTGGCACAATAAACTGACTCTAAGATGAGGAAAAGAGAGAAAGATAAGACGGTTCCAAAGGACAGTAGAGCTGACTGTGGAGCAGGCCACAAAGAATGCATTTTCCAGGTTTTATGCAGAGGACCCACATTGTTCTCTTAACAGAAAACATTGACAGGCTTCTGTTGTACAGGAAGAACTGGGGCAGAGTTTTGCTGGGGGTACACGTCTGATTCATGGGTAAGTCAATTGAAGAGTGGTCGCTGGAGACATTTGTGAATCCTCATTGGGTGCATGAAGAATATAAGACAATGTCCATGTACTTGTTATTTGCACTATTTACATGCCACATTAGTCTTTATATTATATGGCTATGATAAAACTTAGAAAAAATACAAGCATGCAATTACTAACTTTCCAATTATTTTCTGAAAGTTAACCAGATAGTTCCCAGTAGAAGCTGTACTGTAAGGAAACTTAACAGTACAAGATCGGTCTGTGTTCTGGCTTTCTTATGCACATTATGAGCACATGTCATAGCGAGTGCATACCTCTTGGACTTACTTCATGGACTTCTGTGTATTTCATTTAAGTAGAGTAATAAAAATGGGGAGTGAGAGGCTCCAGTGTGCACTCTTGTGCTGGGAAAGCCTGGAGGTGACGGTAATCCTCTCCCGTTAGCTGACACTCGGCTCATAGCAGCCATTAAATATCAGTCTTCTGTTTGGAAAGTGTTGACATCATAAGCTGTTCTTCCTTATACAGTTGTCTCAGTGAGCCTTGCAATTAGAAAGGTAGGATACAATTATTTTCATCCCATCAATGGAGGGTCTAAACTTCATAGATTGTGGGTGACACAGAGGAAACCTAGAACCCAAGCCCCGTGGTTTAGCCAAGAACTTTCTGCCATGATAGAATCCATTCATGGCCACTAGGTGGTGACAACTTGTTAAGAGAGACTATTGGTAAAATTTAGATTCAATTTTGATCTAGAATGTATAGAATATGACACCAGAATTTAGGTACTATGAGTACATGATCCAAATTTGATAGTAGGAAGGAGCAAGTGTTTGTAGGACCACACTTGCGTCACATGGTTTACCTACACACTCATCATGAAAGGCTCCATTAGAGTAGCCATGGTCCATTCATAAAACTTTGTTGAATAGCCATCATATTCCCTGTCAATACATAGAGGGTACTCAGTAGATTAATTTAGATCTTAACTTTCAAATGTTTTGAAATCCCATGGAAAGACGTCTCACGTGAAGATGAGACAGCAAGATACAATATGAATGGGTTCACCTGTTAAAACAAAATTTGGAAACCTGTTAAACAGGTCTAGGCACTAAGAATTTCAGGACTCCTTTCCTCCATTTGCTTTTATCTATAGAGGAAACACTTTACATAATGAACATTTGTTAATATATCAACATTATAATAGAATTTAAGATAAAAGTAAAAAGGGGGCATATGAAACTCACAAGATTCAGCCCAGCAACAACATTTTCTGAATCCTGGGGTCCTCTCTGCAAATAAATGTATTTTTACTAATTCAAAACAACACAGGATTCTTTCAGCAACGCTCACCAGGCCTCCAAAGACTTGGTTGGAACTGTTGTCCTGACACTCTTGCATAGAAGAGTAGAAATAGTGTAGCTGGCCAGCTTGGTAGCGGGAACGAAGAGATAAGCATGGTAATCGTGAGCTGTCAATTCCCAGACCTTTGGAGCCTTTGGAACATTTGAAGAGTACTAGAGTACCATGTAATGAAGTAGAGACTGAAATTTGGGGTGGAGGTAGATTTTATTACCTTTTTTTTTCTCAATCTGTTCCCTTGATAGCTAACTTCATGTTTTTGTCCATAGGAATTTGCATTGAGATAGAACATATTAATTTTCCCAACATAGACTTTTTATAGATTGTTTATGTTTCATTTTATATAAAGAGTCCATAAATCCAAGTTTATTATTTTTAAACATGTTTTATTCAGCTTGTTAGTCTTAAGTATATGTTAAATTGTTACCTCTTACTACTTTAAATACTTCACCAGCAACTATAAATGCCCACTATAACCATTACTTACAATGAATTTACTATTTTCTGTTTACTTACTGAGTAGTATATTGTGGGCTGGAGTTTAGGGTCCTAGATGAAAGATTGACTTAAATAACTGGTCCTTTGTGTTCAGTTTTCTTTTCTGAGGGAAAATATACAAAGTTCCTTTTCACGGTGTCCCATGCTAGAGGCGACAGCGTTATCAAAGCCAGCAAGTGGGGAGCTGTGATTACCTCACAGGACTGTAAATGGGTTAGGGACTTCAAATGGGATCTTAATAAGATTGCAATATGCACATGCTCCCAGTTGTGATAGAAACACAAACTCAATGCCTGTAGGAAATTTTCATGTGCTCTCTTTTTCTCCTTTTTCTTCTTCTTCTCATCTCTTGCTCTCTGCTCCTACCTCCAGCCCCCTTTCTTATTTCATATTTTTCTTTCTCAGGCTAGTCTCATCAAAAGACCCTGAAACCACACAAAGTCACTAGATTTCCTACATAATAAAAATGGAATGTCAAAGGCGCTTAATGTGTAATGTCTTATGGTTTTATAATCACTTTAAGATTTATTGTGGCCTATTAGTTTGCTCCATTTACACTTTATTTTTTGGATGATAATTATCTTAGCCTCAAGATTTTCTGTTATGAATTCATTCCTTTAGCGGATTGGATTTTGAAAAGTTGTTTTCTCTGGTACTACTTAGATGGTCTTTGTTTTTTAAGTAGAGCTGCCACCAATGACTATGGCTCTTTAAATTCAAATTCAGGCTACTAGCAGTTAAACACAGTTTAAAGTTGAGTTTCCCCATCTGAAGTGACTATGAGCAGTGTGTGAGAAAATGTAACTCAAGCTCTTGAGTTTCTCAGGAAAGAACAGCTCTGTAACCCTGGCGTCCACAGAAGACAGAGCCATCTTCAGTCACGGCCTTGCTTACCCTTCACCCATAATCCTTAGTGCTCAGTTACTCACCAAAGCAGCTGCGGTTCCCAAACATCTAACTCACGGCCTAAGAGCACTTGAAATGAGACGTATGCGATGAGATTTTGCTAGTGGCCTGGGATTGATATTTTTAAGAAGACAAATTGTGAATGTTGGGGGCAGAGAGCACCAATCATTCACTCCAGATTTCCTCTTATTTTGTGAGATGCTGCATTGTTCAGGTTGACCTCAAATGGTCTCCTGGCCTTCTCCTCTCAAGGGCTTTGATTATGTGAAAACACTGCCATTCCCAGCTTCAACCACTGATAATTTTTGTAAAAGCTTTATTATCATATCATATTAAATTGCCAGAAAATGACATTTCCTGACGACAAACTTGCCTCCTCACAGAAGTGTCTTTTCCAAGCTTCAGTTTACATTAACTTCATTTATTCAGTGACTATTTATGAAGTCCCCCCCAGGTGCCCAGCCCTGTTCCAAGATAGGGAGCTCTTTCTTCTCTGGCGGATGCTGAGTCGTTATGCTCTTTATTGAAGACTTTATTAAAGTGTCAGTAGCAGAAGTGGCCACATGCACAATGTCTGGCTTTTGAATTTTATGTTTAATAAAGATCCACTTAATAAATTCCAGCAAGAAATTAAATGCTAGGAACAGTTTCTAGAATGATTTATTATGGTTCCTTCTGTGAAAGACTATTGCCTTGCTACAGAGGAACAGTAAACCTCCAGCTATGGCTTGAATTATCGCCCTGCCAGTATCACGGCCTGAGTCCTTCCCTGTCCTCCTCAGCTTCACACACTTCCTCCAGATTTCTCCTTCTCCCTGCCTCCCCGCTTCCCTCCCTTTCCTCCCCCCCCATATGTCTGTTTCTCTGTATGTGTGTCTCTACTTCTCCCTATCCTCCTCCCTTCCTCCTCCCCACCCGTGTGTGTGTGTGTGTGTGTTATAGTTCTGTGTCTCTGTTTCTCTCTCTGTGTATGTTTCTCTGCTTTTTTCTCTCTCACTCTTCCATGTGGGTCTCTATCTCTGCCTCTCCCTCTCCATCTTCCTCTCCCTTCGTTGCTCCCTCCCTCCCCCCTTCTCTACACACACACGCACACACACACAGACACACGCACCAGAATCCTCTTGAGGCATAGCTCATGATTAACATCGTATTTGCCTTTACAGTTTATATAAACGGGTAAGGCACAAAGGGAGAGGCTGAAGCAGTGGGCGTTCCCAACACTGACCCATGAGGGTGTAAGAAAAGTGCAATCCTGTCCCAAGAGATGCTGATCTTACCCCTCAGAGAAGAATGGATGTGCACACTTATGATGAATGTAAACTTCAAAAGCCTTTCAAGATTCAAGTTTTATTGCCAACTCTAATTAGAGTTCTTAATTGGTCTAAGTAATAAAAAACCCAGAGTCAGATCTTGAAAAAATGCTTAGAGATCAGAGAGAATGAGCAAGACATGGCACACCTTACCTCCTAGCATCTTAGCAGACCAGAGAGTAAGTTCCTGTTTCTCCCGGCTTGCATCCTGTTTCCTCCAAGCTACCTCACTTCCTGTCTGTCTGTACAGACCTCCAGACCTCTGTGGTTAGCTAGTGGCAAGCTCCAATCTCTGACCTTCATACAGGCTTGATTTCTACAAGCAAGATATCACCATAGGCCGGGCGGTGGTGGCGCACGCCTTTAATCCCAGCACTCGGGAGGCAGAGGCAGGTGGACCTCTGTGAGTTCGAGGCCAGCCTGGTCTACAGAGAGAGTTCCAGGACAGCCTCCAAAACAATACAGAGAAACCCTGTGTCGAAAAAAAAAAAGATATCACCATAGCCAGCCAGTTATACACTGTTGGTTCAGATATCTGATGGAAATCATTAAGCCTATCTACTCTAGCTCTCCAATTTTTCTGGAAATTAAGTCTTGGATTTTAATGAATTTATTCAGACATTTGGGTGGGACATGTCATAGGAAGACTAGAAGTAAGGTTCCCATATTTCACTCTAATCATCTTCCTACCAAAATTTAAATTAGAAAAAGAGGCTTATAAAATATCATTTTCTAAAGTATCAGATTAACAGGCATTTTTGTGTTGGTTGGTTCTGAGACAGGGTGTCATGTAGCCTAGGTTGACCATGAGCTTCTGATCCTCCTGCCTCCATCTCCCTTGAGCTGACAACATAGAGGTAACACCACCATTGTGGATTCAGTTACACGGACCTAACTATTCAGTTGCCATCATGTGCCAGACCCTGGACTGGACTGGGTGTTTAAGATAAACTAGCTATGAGTACATGCACAGGGGGCGGAAACACTGCTCAGCAGGTCGGAAGCACCCAGACAGTGTCCCACAGCTGAGGAAAGAACTGCCTCTTCCTCTCAAGGTTTGCAGCATCCAGAGAACCAGCATGTCTTCAGCAAATCGAAAGGAGAGTTTTGCTTCAGACCCACATACTGTTGGCTACTGTGTAGAGACTTCAGAAGAAAGAGGCCTGCAGCGAAGTCGAAGGGAAATGTTGATGCTAAGACTCCACTCTGCATATCCACATAGTCAGCGACTGCGGATGCTTACCTGTCCATGCCAGGTTCTATGTGTCCATGGGGGACTCATAGAGGATGCACCATTGCATAGATACAGCTGCAGCCCACTGGCTGTTCCATCCGGGCAAGGTTCACACATAAAGGAGAGCACAAGGTATCTTCAGATGTGCATCCTCTCCTCCTTCACCAGGCTGTGAACCTTCCTCCGCTGTCTTTGCATCTGGGGAGGGGTGGGTCTGTCATCCTCCAAGGTGGTTCCTGTTCACACTGGTCTAGTCACTAGACCACTAGATTCTAGTGCTTTCCAGTGAGCCCTGCCATTTCCTTCTGAATAATAAAGTTACAGGCATAACAACCGTTCTTATCATGAATGGCTATTACTTACTTTTAGGAGAAATCTAAACTTTGCAAGCTGCCCACTTCTGTATATTTGAATCCTGTGCCCTAATTAATAGCAGATGCCTTTCCTAGAGAAAGAAACACTCCTAATAAATATCAAAGGAGGAGAGAAAGGACATTAAGCTCTGGGACAGGGATCCCTAAAATCTTTGCTTTACACCTGAAGTTAAGGACACCCCTTTAAGCAGCCCACCTGTTCTCTCAGGCCTCAGTCTTCCTCATGTATGGAGGGAGAGTCTTACAAACTCACATGATGGTCTCTGAGGAGGGCTAGGGTGTAGTTTATCATGTGAAGTAAAGCAGTAGGCTGAAAATTAGGAGACAGACTTGTGTATCAGAGTGTAGTTGTAAACTCTGTAAATGTGCGGTTTGCTTTCATTATTTATCTCTCGTAGAATACAATCAGGATGACTCCAACTTCCGCTAAAGGCTGGGACCACCATATGGAGCTCTGTGCTCCAGCCGTGTGTGCGTCCCCTGCCTCTGCTCTTCCCCTGCACGCAATCTCTAATCTGTGACACACATGCTTTCTCATCAGCACCGCCCTAAATAGTGGGCTCCCAATGTGTTTGCACTTGCCTATTTCTAGCAACTATCACAACATTCTGTACTTAAAAGACCGAGACAGGAGGATCCTGAGCTCCAGGCCAGCCTGGGCTACATCGTAACCAAGGGCTGGCAAAGTTATTTCAGCCTCTGGAGCACTTAAAGTAGTTAATTAAATAAATGGCTTTTCTCATATAGGTAAGTTCATTTTATTTTATCCTGTCAGTTTAAAAAATAATACCATATTCCAAAAAATGTTCTACCTACTCATCTGTGTTTTTAGTCATCCTTCCTAATGCAGAGGTCACCAGACATCTGTTAGGGGGAAGACAGCAGAACTATGACTATTGGTGGTGCCTGAGGCACAGCTAGTCATACAGAGAGGAGCATGGTGCTGTGACGGTTCCTATAAGCAAAACTCAAACTCAGGTAGACACTGGAAGTTTTAGCCAGATGCACACTATGACTTGTATTTTGAATTATGATAAATACTTTTCTTGATGCATGTGGTTCTCTCCTCAGTCTGGCTCTTTTTGTAATACATCTGTCTGCCACTGATGTCTTGGTAGTGTGTACTCACAGCAGGGTTTGTTCTCTGAGACCTGAAGAAGACTGATGACTTGAATAAGAATGGCCACCATAAGCTCCTATATTTGAATGCTTAGTCACTGGGGAAAGGAACTGTTTGAAAGGATTAGAAGGATTAGGAGGTGTGGCCTTGTCAGAGCAGGTGTGGCCTTGTTGGAGAAAGTGTGTCACTGGGGTGAGACTTGAGGTTTCAAATGCCCACACTAGGCTCAGGCACACTCTCCCCCACTCCCCTGCCCCATCTCTCTACTTGAGCATCATAGTGTAGAATTCTCAGCTCCTTCTCCAGCATCATGTCTGCCTGCACACCATGATGATGATGGACCAAATCTCAACTGTAAGCAAGCCACCAATTAAATGCTTTCTTTTTATAAGAGTTTCTGTGGTCATGGTGTCTTTTGAGCAATAGAACAATGACTAGGACAGAAACCGATGGTTTATTTTTTTTAGGAGTCTATTTCCTTCACACCTCCAGATGTCTTTATAATAGTTGTGAAAGGTTTGTACTGACCCATCTTATTCTGAAATACCATGTGACTATGTGTATTTTTCTTTGTCTAATAAATGTGTGTTGTTTCCTTCAGGGGGATTTTCTATGGGAGGCTGCATGGCGATACATTTAGCATACAGAAAACACCGAGATGTGGCAGGAGTATTTGCTCTTTCTAGTTTTCTGAACAAGGAGTCTGCTGTCTACAAGGTAAGTTCCAGGTTTAAAAAACCAAACAAACGTAACATGAAACAAAGATATGTTGAAACTAAAATAAAGTTGATAATTAAGCAATAAAATGTGGTGCCTAGTCAGTATAGATTAAATGTTCCTGGAATCCATGGCCAGATGAGTCATGCTGATTCCAGGAGGCCTCTCTGTTTGCAATCCCTCCTTGAAAAGGACAGTTATAGCAAAAGTATGTTTAGTATTATATGAACCCTTTTACTAGAATGTTGAAGGTTATAATCAGGCTTGCTTATTATGAGTCTACTCAGAAATAAATTATAAAACTGATACTTTATGCAGTGTTCAGGCTTACAACCATTGTACAGGGTGGCGTTATAGCTCTGTTACCAAAAGTTGAACAGAGCTTTTGAATGTCATTTTTTCTCTTCTGTTGGGCCTCAGATCTGTACTTTTCCCTCTTCCTCAAATCCCCCAAAGAAGTCTATCTTTAAATTTCACTCAGCTTCTTGAGGAAGTGCACTGTGGAGTCCTCAGTGGTACAAACATCGGGCACACACCCACACAGCCCTCACAGGGGGCCTGCCCACTGGCACACAAGGCACAGCTCTCTCTGAGCCACCTCCGGAGGCTCCCTCTTCCTTCCCTTACTGGAGCTGTGGTAAACTTGGAGTGGTCTTCTCTGATGGGTTGTCTCAGCCAACTGTCTCCGCCTTCCTTTAGGATCTTCAGCAAGCTGAGCACACGCTCCCCGAGCTATTTCAGTGTCACGGCACCGCAGATGAGCTGGTCCTTCATGCCTGGGGCGAGGAGACAAACTCAAAGCTGAAGTCTCTAGGAGTGAGCACAGTGTTTCACAGTCTTCCAGATCTTTACCATGAAATGAACAAAACTGAGCTAGAGAGGCTGAAGTCCTGGATTCTAACAAAACTGCCCGGAAAGACTGAGGGACAGAATGAATGAATGAATGAATGAATGAATGAATGAATCTATCTTCACTGCCACATTGATTAGTATCTTATATTCAACAATTTTTTTCCTCATTTGATCCTCACAGAAAGTAAGCTTGGTGAAACATCCAGCATTCCCATCTTTTATGAATGGGATTTATGATATCTGTCTGTTGTCATTCCACAAAATTGTCTTGAGAATCATTATGTTGTAAATGTCAACTGTTTTGTAGCTGCATAGATACCATGGACACACTGCTATTTGCTTGTCCATTCACCACAGATCTGGGCTACTTGCTCTGTGGAGCTGTCATAAATAGGGATGTTGTGAGGTGTAAACATCCACCCTCACAGCGGAGAGGGTGGTTGACGCATTGTCAGTACCTGAGACTGTCCAACTGTTTCTCATTGTAGTTTTACCATTTCCCATTCCAGACAGCGTGGTGGTGCCTGATGCCCATCTCTTCATCATACTTTCATTTGGCCTTTCTGGTGGCTGCATAGAGTTTGATTTCTGTAATGCAGGCTTGATTTCCATTTTTTGGTGATACAGAATCCTACACTGGAGGGTTCTTCCACATTTGTGAAGAGTCAGTTTGTCCTCCCCAATTTGTTTCTAGATTGTCTTTGTGAAAAGTTATTTACTGTCAAATTATAATGATAAATAAAATATGAATAAATAATTTACTGACTCATCGATTTACTTATTAAAATGTCTAGTTCTATAATGTAATCTTATTAAAGGTAGAATTAATTGAGATCAGTATCTGACATTGTTTTCTAGATGAGTTGCTATGAACACTGAAAGATCTTTTAAGTATTTTAAAATAAGCATACAAAATAAGTGGTCTTCTCATGGTTGTCACACACAAGTATTAATTATACTTTGCTCAAAAACCTCCCTGCACCTCCTCCCACTCATGTCAAAGTATCCCTTCTGCTTTCACGTACATACATGTTTGCGTGTGTGCATGTGCTTGCATGTGTATGTGCGTTCTGCATATGTACATACATGTTTACGTGTGTGCATGTGCTTGCATGTGTATATGTGTGTTCTGCATATGAAAGAACACATGATAATGTGACACTTTCCCTCTCGTTCTTCTCTCTGGTCCCCCCTTCCCTTTGGATCTTTCCTTTCCTCCACATAGTCCCCTTCCACTTGTGAACATATATATATATATATATACATTATATATTATATATAGTATAATATACTCAAGTTCACAGCAGCATCTTTCATGATGACCCAAATGTCTATAAGCATCTAATAGAAAGCAAAATGTAGTATGTTTAGGTATACATACATATTTTCAACATTGCATGGTAAGGAAATCCTGACACATGCCCCAAAATGGATAAAAATTGATTATGATAAGTCAAGAAAGCCAATTACAAAAAGACAACCACTTGTGGGAGGCATCTAAAGTAGCCAAACTCATGAGAACAGATAATATAATGGTAGGGTAACGTAGACAGGAATGAGAAGGGAGTGCAGAGAGACATAGACAAAGACAGAATAGTATGGGATAGAAGGAAGAAGGGAGGAGAGGAAAAAAGAGGGGAGGAGATACCTATGAGCAAAAATACACCCTTCAAAGGAATTCCCCAGTGATCTATTTCCTCCATGTAGGTCCTGTCTCCTCCTAAAGGCCTTACCACATCCCAAAAGCCCATGAAACGATAGATACTTTTTCCTAGTTTCCCCTCTGGACCTCACAGAAAGCAATTCAATGGGAGAGAAGTTTAATTCAGTCCATGATTTGAAGAGTTATGCTTCAACATGGATCGGGAGGCATGGCGGGGCTGCAGCTGCTTGCTCAGTGTACCAGGATGAAGACAAATGGAGATGTCTGTGTTCTACTTTCTCCTTACCCGCATTTTACCTAGTCTCAAATCATCGCTCATGGGATCATGCCTCACACATCCAAGATGGTTCTTTCCATTCTGTTGAACCTCTCTGGAAACACCATTGTAGATATGTGTCCCATAGGTGATTGTAAACCCCCAATGAGTTGCCAATGAAGATTAACCATCAAATCCATCAAAGTATTTATAAGAGCTCTCATAATACAATCACTTCCCGAAAATCCTATCCTCTGCTGTATTGGGGACCCACCAATGAACACATGAGCTTTGGAGTTATTTCTCATACTCAAACACAACAGATCCTAGAGTTTCAATTTCCAAGTATGAAAAAGTGAACACTACACATATAATTAAAAGCACTGCGGTATGTGCCTAAATAGTTAAAATGCTAACTTTTTACATTGTGTGTTATTTTAATACTTTAAAAAATAAATAGGGTAATACAGTGCAACCCACTATCAACACTGAAGTAATGCTTTCCACGGAAGGACAATCAATTCCTGAAAGTCCTGTCACATATAGAAGATGAGAGGCTCAGGTAGACATTCCCAAAAAGAGACCGAGACAGTGGGAAGATTGAGACAAATACTTACCCTGGTTTAGAAGTAAGCTAACCAGTGCCCTATTAAGTTCAGCTCAGTAAATATTTTGGTCCGTGGATTCTCTTTTAAGTGAAGGCAATAAAATTAACTTTTTTTTTTTGGTTTTTTGAGACAGGGTTTCTCTGTATTGTTTTGGAGGCTATCGGTCCAGCCCAGCCTCGAACTCACAGAGATCCGCCTGCCTCTGCCTCCCGAGTGCTGGGATTAAAGGCGTGCGCCACCATCGCCCTGCTCAATAAAATTAACTTTTAAGATTATTTTGAGTCAGTAAATTGGTTGTCTTACAAGTCCTAGGACTCAAGTTTAGTCTGTCAGAACGTATATTTAAAAAATAAGACAAATATATCATGGCTTGTGGTTGTAACTCAAGTACTTGGGAGGCAGAGAGAAGCATGTCCCTGAATCTGGTTTACCAACCAGCCCAGTCTACTTGATGAACGCCAGACCAACGAGATAGGCTGTCTCACAAAAACAAGGTGGGTTTCATTTGAGGAATAAAGCTGAGGTTGTCCTCTGGCCTACATGTACACGGTAAGTTGTACACATGTGTGCCCCCAAAACACACAAATACACACAGACACACACACACACACACACACACACACACACACACACACACAAGGCTATTTTAAGGTAAGGCTGATTTAATAAATGTGATTTTATTGGATATGTAATACTCAGCCTAGATCAAGGGATGTACAAAAATATTAACAATAAAGTTTTTTTTTGTTTTTTGTTTTGTTTTGTTTTGTCTTTTGTAAGACACAGCATGAAAAGCCTGGATTGTTTTTATCACTGAGGAACACTCATGGAATGGTTCCTGAGCTAAGTTATGACTGCAAATAGACAATAGATAATGTATGTGGAGCCTGTAGTGAGAAGACAGGATGAGAGTTTTACCTCTACTTTAGATGTTTAAGGTTACTCATTTCTTTATCCCTATATCCTTACAAATATAAGAATGCAACAAAAGTCAGAGTCACTTAAAATGATTTAAAAACAAGATGTTTTCACACTGCCTTTGGACGTGTGTCTCCGACAACACATGATCTTTCATTTGCATGCATCATAACTCACTTTGACCGTGATATCCCAAGGAAAAGACTAATTAGATGCTATTGGGCTTGACTGCGAACATATGGTTTTAGATAGCTGGCAGGACACTTTGCAGAGGCCAGAGCCACCACACCATGAAATCACTCGCTAACCCATGTATTCACTCATGGCTACATCTGTAAGCAAAAATGTAAACATCTGAAATGCTGAGGTGACATTTTGAAAGAGAAAACTCCTTTCACTCAAAGCATGAACGTTCTGAAGTTAATATTGAGGCATCTTTGATTGCTGCCAGACCACACTGAATTTGAAGTGAGGCTGTGAATCCAGCCCATTGTTTATGGAACATAATCTAATTACCTATAGATCAATGTGGGAAAATAATCCAGCATTTAATGCGACATCAGTGAACTTTTAATACTTCAGAGGATGTGTTTTATGTGCAGTCTTTTAGTATCTGTTGTGAGCAAAGTGTTCTTGCAGAGTTATAGAGAAACCAAGATTGCCAGTTTACATGTGTGCCATATTGATAGCATTGTGTTCTAAAAAGAGTATTGCTTACTTCCTACATGGGTTTTTAACACAAATGTATTATGTATGTGAGTCCCTGAATTCAATCATAATCTTAAGTTGGAAAGACATCTCCCAGACATTATGGGAATTGGGTATATGTCCCTTACTTTATGTAGGAACCCCACCAACTGCTAATATTCCTGTGTACCTTTGGCACATGTGTGTAAGGAGCCAAGAGAAGAGGTTGACATTGGTTTTCAGGCCCAGCATTTGTTTGGAGTGCCAGAAATAATTGCTTTTATTATAGTGTGCTTAAATCAGCATTAGCAGCTTTTCTATCAAAGAAATTGGTTCTTATGTGGATGGCCAATAAATAAAATTGTTATACAGTGGAATAATAGGAACATGTAATGAAACTTGATTTCCTGCCAAGCAAGCGTATGGACATAAATGAAAAAAGGAAAAATGTGCTTTATATGCTCTATATGGGTCCCACGAGAGACGGTGGAAATCATCTACCTACAGGTATCTGGATTCTGTCCATTTAGGAACACCAAATTCTTTAGGCAGGGAACTGTTCTTACTGTCCAGGGCTGTTGGATGGGAAAAGATGTGGTTTCCTGTGGAGTGAGGGAAAGGGGAAGGCAGAGTTTCCAACAGTTGCCAGGTTTTGTTTAACACATTTGATTCCACACTGTTATGCTAAGCTTCATGACATAGACTTAGTAATTACAACATGTGGTACCATCCCAAAGCAAGTGAGGAAGCCCTTTTGCATGAGTCTAAATCTGACCTCGTGTTTTTCAGATAACTATGGAGCTAGACTAAAGCAGTCTAGCCATTTACACAAGCTTGAGCCCAGTCTTTTTCTTTCTCTCTTTTCTTCTATTTTATAATCTTCAAGATCGATGCCCTTGGTCTTTTGTGAGCATCTAAGAATACCCAATTACAAGTTTCAAAAGAGATGGAAAGCCAACTGGATATACAGGAATGTGTGGTTTGTTTTATGAATGTAGCACCTACACACACACACACACACACACACACACACACACACACACAGGACATACTAAACAAAATGTAGAGCTGTTAACTCACATTCCAGCCAGGAAGTTTGAATCTAGGAAATGATTGGTTAAAATAACATAAAAAGGCAGGCCACTACTAATAAATACTCATAGTCTTCGGAAGTTCTCTGAAACTTGCATGTCATTCAGAAAATATCCAAGTGAGCTATTTGCTAAACAAATCATTAGAAGAATAAAACACAAATCACTCTAAGCTTTGAAGGTCATTGTTTAAACATTTGGTGTTTTAAAGTACAACAGAGTTGCCTGTTTCCCTACAAATGACATTATCATGTTAACTAATCTGAAACTGTTAGCAAACATTCAGAGTGTGTGGAAGAAATAAATGGTGCAGAGATGTTTTCAACAACTATCAACAATTTTGTCAACACATTTTATTGTCTAATGTGCTACCAAGGCTCACAACACAAGTAATGCATGTAACAACAGCTCAATGTCTGGCCTCAGAGCAGTCTTAGGAGATTGACTTTAGGTAGGTAGTTTTATTATCTTGTGACTGGGTTCATTACCATCCCAAAGTCTTCATGCTCCTGTCTCTGTTTTGTTGTTGGTTAT